CCTAAACTCCCTAAACCCTAAAACCTTAATTGCTAAAGCTTAAACCGAAGTACCAAATCACAATGTCATTAGGCTTAGGGTGTAGGTTGAACGTCGTAGGGCTTAGGGTTCCGGAAGCTAGGTAGTTTCAGGTTCCATGGGGGTTTTGAGGTTTGTGCCCTGTAGACCCCGGCACGGCAGGCTCTAAAAGCTTCAGCTTCCGTGTCTGGCTTGGGCAACCCTCAACCCTAAAACCTCGGATTCCTGTCCGAGGCCGAAGAGTGGAAAAGCTGCTGCGCCCGCGGGCTACGCAGGCTCTTCCGGTTGAGTAGGGCCTGGGGACATTGTGTAGGCTGAGATTCGTGGTCTGGGATGACATGCCAACCATGATCTCACATTCCAGTGGTGCCGTCGATGCACTGATCTCTGCAGGAGTCGTTCTGTGGTCGTGGCCGCAGCAGAAGTTCCCACTTTTTTCGTGTGGAAAGGGCTGCATCTGAGCGTGGCCGCCGCTCCAGGCTACGGCTCAAGGTCGAAGCTGGAGAAAGTAAACCCTATAGTCTCCTGCACAAGAGGAACAGACCATGGCCCCCTCCAGCCAGGTTGCCGTCGCTGCCTTGGCAGCCGCAGGCTGCACGGCCTTCGTCGCCGCGCCCAGCGCCACACGCGGCCCTGCTCTGCGCAGCACCGTGCAGGGCCAGGCAAAGGCGTCCTCGACCTCCGGGACCGGCCTGGCCATTTGCGGCCTAGGTGCGGCAGTCGGCGCTGCCATCGCCGCCCCCAAGAAGGAGCGGGTGGCTCTCCGTGCCTTCGAGACAGAACTCGGAGTGCAGCCCCCGGCCGGATTTTGGGACCCGCTAGGCAGGAAGTCCAAAGTCGAAAAGAAACTTCAACAAACGGTCTTCTTCAGATTTTCAGTTGAGAGTTTTTAGTTTTATCGACCCTTCAGGCTTCACCAAGGGTGGTGATGCAGCCTCTTTCCGTCGACGACGGTATGTGGAGCTAAAGCACGGGCGCGTGGCCATGTTGGCATGCATGGGATACATCGTTCCTGAGTACTACCGATGGCCAGGTGATCTCTCTCCTTCCCTCGGCATCAAGTTTACGGATGTCCCAACCGGCTTCGCCGCCTTCTCAAAAGTGCCTCTAAGCGGCTGGGCACAGATGGTGGCCTTCGCTGGTAGTGTGGAGCTCTTCCAGTACGTGGATGATCCCAAGCGTGCCCCGGGCGACTTTGAGAACGCGGGTCTCCTGGGCATCCCCAACGGCTTCATGAAGGCTCCGGAAGGCCAGAAGGAAAAGAAGCTAGCTGCCGAGATCGCAAACGGCCGCTTGGCCATGATGGCCATCATTGGCATGTTCTTCCAGAACGGATTGACAGGACAGGCATGGGGCGACTGGTCTCTGTACACGGACTCCCCGCTGCGCGCCTTGACGCCGGCGCAGGAGATCATTGCCGGGACTGGCGGCCCTCTCCCTGACAACTTCTGGGATCCGGCGGGCATCACGAATGGCAAGACCGAGAAGGAGATCGCAATGCTCCGGGCCATGGAGCTGAAGCACGGGCGCGTGGCGATGCTTGCGGTGCTCCACTGGTTCCATGTGGCCGCGGGCTACCACCTCTTGGGTGATTATGCCATCGGCGAGAGGATGAGCAACGACCCCCTCGTCAGCTTGACCCAGCTCCCTATGGGAGGCATGTGGCAGGTGATCTTCACCATCATGTGCTTGGAGTGGCTGACCACCTACATCTGCAAGCCCCCTGAGGACCGCCCTTGGGACGTGCTCGGATGGAAGGGCATCATCGACGAGGACTACCCTTCCGAGATCTGGAACGGATGGAAGCGGGTCCAGTGCCAGGAGCTGAACAACAGCCGCCTTGCCATGGTGGCCATCACCGGACTCGTCGCCCAGGACGTTGTCACCGGCGACTACGTCGCAGGCGTCGGCAAGCTCTGCGGCGGTGCGGCGGTCTGCAACCAGCCCATTGACTATTCTCCTTGGCAGAACCTCCCTCCCATCGACGACTTCGTGGCCAACGCACCCGCTTGGGCCAACGGCCCGGCCCTCTACGGCGTCAACTGAGCGCCCGCGTAGGGCGGTACTCAGCAAAGCTTGTGGGGTCTTTCGTGAGGCCTTGAGACCGCTGAGCCGTGCAACAGCTGGAAAAAGCCGAGAGCACTGGCCACGGCCCAGGTATTGAGTGCATTTATGACATGGAGCCTTTACTCGCGCCAATCCACTGGCAAGAGTGGCTGAAGCAAATTGAGCATGAATATTTCGCTTCGGACCGCTGCAGTCTTTGAAGGCTGAAATCCCAAAAACCCTGCCAGGCTTGCACCAGGCCAAAGCCAAGCCGCAGAGTCCGGCTGGCTCGGTCAAGGTCGCAGGGCTCAGGGGTTCTCAGAGTCCTTTCCTGGTTGGGGGTTGAGGAGTCCAGGGTTGTGTAACATAGGGGCCTGCATGACTTCGCATGGGCTCGTTGGTGACAAAACAGCCTCCTCCCACTCCCCCTCAGAAAGCCTGGATACAACCTTACAAAAGCCGCAATGCGGGCTGGTCCTAGCTAGGTGGGAGGCCCCCAAAAACCCTAAACCCCAAACCCTAAACCCTAAATGCTGCATTGTGCGAGTGTGTGAGTCGAAACCCTAAATCGAAGGCGGCTCCCGCAGCGAAGCCTCGCTGTGGGCCAGCGGCCTTTCAGCTGATCAAGAAGATCGAGAGCCAGGTGGGCTTTAGTCTCTCTAAGGGGTTTCAAGGGGATTTCTGGCTGGTTTCTAGAGGGTTTCTATTTCCAGGGATTTCTCGGGGTTTCCGGGGGTTTCTGGGGGTTTCTAGGAGTCTAGGGTCTCTCTCTGCTTTTGCAGGGTTGTAGGTCAAACTTGCGGGGGATTCTAGACTTCTTAGGTTTTGTCGAATCTAAGGTTTGGAGTATATGGTTTGATGTTTAGGGGTTTGGGGCTCGTGGTGCAGGAGTTGAGTAGGGTTTTGAGGATTTCTCTGCTTGTGCAGTGCCCAACCCGAACGGATTTCAAGAGGCCTGGAGACAAAATCAGAAGGTTGGTACTCTGGTCCACTAAAAAGGTTCGTTAACTTACTGATACCCTTCTCAAAAGCTTTAGGACTTTGGTTTTGGACCCCTCAACCTTGGTCCAATTCTTCATGCTTCAGGATGTGTGGGGTTTGGGGATCAGTCTCAGGCCCTAACCCTAGCCCTCTCAGGGGTTGCGGTAGGGCTTTCGAGATCTGCGGACCGCGCTGAGCGGGCTTTGATGGAGCTTGGGTTCCGGACGCCGCTCCAATCAAGCCTGTGTAAAAAGGTTTCAGGGTTCAGGGTGTAGGGTTTAGGGTTCACTCGTAAGGGTTTAGGGAATCTCAAGATAGGTGTACCCATAGTCAAGCAGTATCTTCAACGGTTCTTCAGTATTGATTGGCAAGTAGTATCTAAGTGGTACACCCTCTCGGGTAGGCAAGTTCTAGACTAGAAAACCCTCGACCTGCACACCCAGAAGGCTAAGCCCTCTGGATCGCACAGCGGGCCGGGCAAACAAATCAAGCTCTAAGTGCGGGTGCTTAGCCGCGCAGGCAGACTCGCAGCTAGGCAGCGAGGCCGAACCATTTCCGATGGAGACTCTCGCAGTGTTCAGGAGTGACCATTGTTACTGTCATTTCGGATGTGTTGAAGAAGAGGGTGATGATGCTGTTGATCATGTACGAAATCGGCATTCTAAAGCCTGAAGAGAGTCCAAATCCTAAAACCTCACCTTGCTGCACCCTGTTATGCGAGCGTAAGGCGTAAGCCCTACCGTAAGACCAAAACCCTACAAGTTTGTACCGCATCGCTCCTAAAGCTAGCATCTTGCGGTTGTTCGGCTTGAGGTTTAAGTGCTTGAGACTCCCGAAACCTCTGCAGCGCGCTTCGGATTGAAGGGTTGGGAGCTTTGCGGGTCTCAGAAACCCTTATAAAAGGCCCCAAAAGACCTAAGCTCTAAACTGTAAACTCGAACCTTCAACCCTCAACGACTCGTGAAAGCGTAAACCCCAAGCAATGGGTTTCGGTTTCGGAAATGAAACACGGGCCCGACAGTACCGGTCTGTGGGTACGCGAAGCCGTGAGCCCCAAACCGAGACGCCCGAACAAGACGAAGGCCCGCAAACTCCTAACCCAGGCTTTTAATGGTTTAATCAGGGTTTGTTTGCTGTTTCGGTGTTTGCTCTGGGTTTACTGGCGGTTCAGTTTTTAGTTTACTTAACGATTTGTAGGCTTTATAGAGTTCATTTAGGGTTGAGGGTTCAAAACCCCCATTCCGATCTGCACGGAGGCTGATGAGGAAGAGGATAGGGAGGGCAGCGGCTTCGTCGCTCCTGGGTCGGGGGCCGGGCTGCTGTCAGGGGTTTAGGTACAAACTGGAACCTTGACTGACACATGGGGGTTTCCGAAAATAGGGGACCCTAAAATAGTACCTTAAGTAGTAGGATCCTTATTATAAGGACCCCAAACAAGGTACCCCTCGTTTTCGGAAAGTCTCACATCGAAGCGTTAAGATATGGTGAGACGTCTACTTCTCATGGTGATCTGAGCCCTCATCTTGCGCAGAGCGATATGGGCAGCTTGCGCACTGGAGCACTTCATGACTTCTTGGTTCTTTCTCGCGCCTCCTAATACGCACCCGCAGGTCTAGACCACCGATCCAAAGTCAGGAACCCCGAACACCTATTCCTAAGCCCGAAAACATAAACCCTCGGGCCTGTAGCCTGCTGCACCTGAAAACCCTAGATCATAAACCCTAAAAAGCTTATCTCTGTACAAGAGCCTATCTCTAAGGTCCGACGACGATCTGTGCGTCGGTCAGCAGGTGCGCCCACGTCCTCGAAAACTGAACTCCTCCTCCTGGCCCTTGCATCATTTGCATGCTCGTTATGACACTCATAGGCACGAAACCGGAAACCCTGAACCCTAAACCCTAAACCCTGAAAGCTTAACCTAGGCAATGCAGCCACTGCGCCAGGAGTCTGGAGTCTGAGAGCAGATGCAGCTAGTTTGTTTGCAATTGTCTAACGTCAAAGAGCGTCCGTCCCGAAGGTGTCGACAGGTAGACTACCCAGCAGACATCTCAACGATCTCAGCTCCTGCTCCGTATGCTCCTAAGTGTCCTCCCTGTCCCTTAAACCCTAAACCCTAAACCCTAAACCCTAAACCCTAAACCCTAAACCCTAAACCCTAAACCCCTGGAGCCGTAGTCGGCCGCAGGGCAGCACCAGTCGCTTCGTGATGCCCGGGCCGGGTGCCACAGACTAGGTGCTGGCGTTTAGGGGATTTGGGTTCGGAGTTGAGGTGCAGGGAACACAGGACCCTAAGAGATACTATATGGGAGTTTCCCGAAAATTAGGGGTGCTCGTACCTTATTTTGGGGTCCTTATAATAAGAACCCCGATGCTATATGGGAGTTTCCGAAAATTAGGGGTACCTTATCTTGGGGTCCTTATCATAAGGATCCTACTGATACTAAAGTGGGAGTTTCCGAAAATTAGGGGTACCTTATTTTGGGGTCCTTATAATAAGGATCCTACTATAAGGGGTACCTTAACATGGGGTCCATGTAATAAGGATCCTACTATTTAGGGTGCTATATTGGGGTCCCCTATTCTTGGAACCCCCATTTGGGTTAGGAGTTGAGGTGCAGAGAACACAGGACCCTAAGAGGGAGCCTTCTTGGGCGAACCCCGATACTATACCCCAAAGGGCTTAATATGGCCATAATAAGGGCTTAATGGTTTGAATATGGCCATAATACGGCCCTAATATACAATAAGGGGAGATTATACTATGAAGCACTTCTCTGGGCAGATGCATTTCAAGCCTGACCTTGTCGTGCGATGAGCAAGCAAGCCCCTGTGAGCTTGTAGATCGTAGTACGACCCTCTCTGTTCGCACACACACATACATACATATCTATATATATATACACACATATATATATATATATATTTCTTTATTTATAGTTTACACACACACACACACAAATGTGTAGACATATGTCCCTTTTGTACGCCCTTAGACCTTCACCCCAGGGAGAGGAAGGGCAGCCAGCCCAGGAAAGCAGGAGCAAGGCGAAAGGAACTCGAATGATTTCGGTTCTGGTGTACTAAAAGGGCCTCAATAATTAACACGGGCCTAAATAATTAATGATGGCCGAAATACTTACCTATACTATAATAATTACCTATACTATTTGGGGGGGTTCCTTGCAAGAATCACAGTATAATGGGCCCCTATATTAAGTGTATCTTTCGGGAACGCTCGAACTCTTGGCTCGGATTGTTGAGACCTTCCCATCACATGCCTTGCAAGACGGTCACGACGCCGTTCCATGTTGCGCTCGAACCAAGTATCGAAATCTGCCGCATTCACGGCTCGACTGCGTTAGCGATGGGAAAGACTCCCGTCGCGGGCCGGGCTCCCTCTTTGAGGGGCCTTTGTTTCCTTATCCAGACCCTCAGTTGCAGCAGTGCAGTGGTGGTTTGTGGAGTTGTGACAACAGAAGAGCCACCACCAATATTCAAACAAAGGCACAGCAACTGGATGAGAACAGCCAGGACACTGTCGATGGTGATGGGAACTTTGGATGATTATGTTGATGGAAGAGTGGGTTGTCATGGTACATAGTATATAATTTGGTTTTGCTGGCAGGGTTGTCGATCATAGCGCTGAGCACTAACCGTATCAATCGCACAAATCAACGACCATCAGGCGGCTGCGGGAAAGAACAAGGCACTGGTCCAATTCCGTGACCCGAACGCCCCAAACCCCAAACTCATCTGAAAATACCCTGAACCTTTTATATATATAAATTTATAAATATACATATATGTATATATATATATATAATATATATATATATATATACATACATATGTTCCTAGCTCCAAACCCTGGCCCGAATCCAGGGCCTAAGCCCTGAGCCCGGAGCCGACATGGCGCCGCTGGGGCCTGCTGACCTGGCGCTGCCTGCACCGGCACAGTGGCCCCACACCCGGGTGCCCCAGGGTCTGGGGTTTAGGGTTTAGG